ACCATAACTGAAGTCAAGCACATACAAGAAAGGATGAAGGCCGCCCAAGACCGCCAAAAATCCTACGCCGACCTAGGAAGAAGACAAGCCGAGTTCGCCCCTGGAGATAAGGTCTGGCTAAGAATCTCGCCCACCCGAGGGGTAATGAGGTTCGGAAGAAAGGGGAAACTCAGCCCCCGATTTATTGGCCCCTATGAAATCATAGAAAAAGTCGGGAACCTGGCCTACCGCCTCGCCCTACCCATCGAACTGGAACGGGTACACAACGTATTCCACATATCCCAACTAAAGAAATATATACACGATCTGAGCCACGTGCTACAACCCGAGACCGTGGACCTTGACGACGCACTAGCTTACAAAGAGAAACCTGTAAGGATCCTGGACACCAAGACAAGAACCACCCACCAGCGAGCCATAGAAATGGTAAAAATCCTCTGGACCAACCACGGAACCGAAGAGGCAACATGGGAACTCAAAGACACAATGAAGGAGCGCTACCCCAAACTCTTCACACAAGGTAACCAAGGCGAAAGCATAGGATAAGGGAAGAAGTCACTCAACAAGGACCAAAGCTTCGGGGACGAAGCTTCCCGTTAAAGGGGGGAGAGTGTAACACCCCATGTTACGGCCCTAAACCAATTAATTATTTACCCGGAAAGAAAGATTAAATCACATTAATTACTTAGGAAAGGTCCACCATAAGCCCATGGACCCTTATCCCTAAATCCAACCCTTAGTCCCATAGGAAATAGAATTAGCTAAATCCATGCCATTTGTGATTGAGTGTCACAAATGATGATTGAATGATGATTAAATGATGATATGATTGATGTGGATATAGACTGTGACCTTAGCTGCAGATTCTTTATGATGATCCTCCTTAAACTATTATTATTGATTATGTGCTTACCTTGTTTGCTGAGTCCATTCCTGCTTTTAAAACTAGTGTCTCTTAAGTATATATCTTCCTGCTTCAAAACGATTTTCGTATATCTATATATATCTACCTATAATGTATTTCAACGTGTTGGAGTGGGTTACCAGCATCTCTCGCTGAACAGATATATTTGGCTTTCAGGCACAGATGAGTAGACACCGGAACGCGCTAGAGACCCGAAGCGTAGAGTAGCTAGTTCCCCTTTTCGTCCTGCGCGCCATGCTTATATACTGACTTTACTTCAAGGATTTTAGTTAGTTTGCCTGTGCACCTGAGCTCTCTAACTCAAGTGTGGCATAGCACCCCATACTCTTATGCTTACTTTTGGGATTTAATGAGAATTTACCTTTGTTATATAAGTTTTAAAAGTTTCAAAATTTCTGGGTGTTACAGGGATGGACCCGGGCTTGTGCCTACCCTTGTAGAGCTTAATGGCCTACCGACCGTGACAGGACGGACCCTGGCTTGTGCCTACCCTCGTAGTGCTTAATGGCCTACCGACCGTGCCAGGACACACCCGGGCTTGTGCCTACCCTCGTAGGGCTTACTGGCCTACCGACCGTGCCGGGACAGACCCGGGCTTGTGGACTATACTGAAACAGGGAGTTTTTTCATAACAACGCGGGGATTAAAAACCCATTTCATTTCATAACATAAGGAAGCCAACTGGCGAATATAATTAACTACGGCTGACCTACCGGCACAACAGCTATCCTGTTAGGTTTAAACTACTGCAAAAGGAAACCCACCGGCGAAAAGGACGAACCAGTGGGGCGAACAGCACTGATTCAGTCAGTCGCCTTCACTATCAAAGATGAAACAAGTCGAAGTTTTCTGAGTTTCAGATTCGATCCACAGGCTTGCCTATCGTGGTCTCGAGTTTGTAAGTGCCCGGGCGTATAACAACGGAGATTATGTACAGTCCTTCCCAACTCTGGGACAACTTTCCACCCTTCAGGGGACGGCTCGCCTCTCTCTTTCTTAGGACATAATCGCCGACCTAGAAATACTTGGGTCAGACTCGAGCGTCGTGGTAAGCTTTTGTCTTCTTTTGGTACTCAGCAACTCTCCGTGCAACCTGCTCACGTCTTTCTTCTACTGCATCTAGCTCGACCGCCATCTGCCTGTCATTCTCGTCCGGGTCGAAATCTTTCTCTCTAGCGATTGGCAGCAAAGCCTCGATCGGTAGCCTGGCCTCCGCGCCGTATACCAAGGAGAAGGGGTTCTCCATGGTTGCTTCCCGGGGAGTAGTTTTGTAAGCCCAAAGGAAGTAAGGCAGCTCTTCTGCCCAACTCTGCCCCGCAAAATATAGCTTCTTTTTTATGCCCTCCAAAATTGTTCGGTTGGCGTTTTCGACCTGGCCGTTCCCCTGAGGGTATGCTACGGACGCCCTTACAGCTTTTGTTCAGATCGTTGCTAGGAAATTTTTAACGTAATTCCCTTTGAACTACCTTCCGTTATCCGTGACTAGCTGCACGGGGACGCTGAACCGGGAGATGACGTTGTGCCATAAGAACCCCGCGCACTGCTAGGACGTGATCGTTGCTAGCAGCTCGGCCTCAATCCACTTGGAGAAGTAGTCGATGGCCACTATGATGAACTTTCTTCTCCCGGCCAGTTCGGGGAACGGTCCAACGATGTCGACACCCCACCAGGCGAACGGGATGGCCATGCTAACAGGTTGATAGAAGGTTGCCGACCTCCCGGGTGCCTTTGCGAAAAGTTGGCATGCCTCGCACTCCCGGGCCATCTTCATACAATCGAGCTGTATCGACGACCAGTAGTAACTTATTAGCATTATTCCACGGGCAAGGGCTCTACCCACCTGATGGGTCGAGCATATGCCGGAATGTAGCTCGGTCATTACTAAGTCAGCCTCGAAGTCGTTCAAACACCTCATCAATGGTCCACCGTACGACCGTCGATATAAGCAACCGTCCAACACCTGGAACCGCGGAGCTCTTAACTTGAACTTTCGTGCCCTTTCCGGGTCGTTGGGCAAACTATCTTCTTGTAAGTATTGGATCTAGTCTGTGATCCAACTCTCCTCGGGTTGTTCGACCGGGACGACGGGCAGCTGGTTTATGGTAGCGTGGGGGATTTCCTCTATCTGGGCGATTTTGGAGACGTGTTCGGGAGCTTCTTGGGCGAGTTTGGACAGAACGTCCGCATTCACATTTTCCATTCGGGGAACATGCTCGACTATATGTCCTCTAAACTCTGCCAAGATCGCTACAGCCTGATCCCGGTATTGTATCAAACGGTCACCATTCGCCTCGAAGTTTACTAGGACATGGCCGACGACCAGGGCCGAATAAGTTCGAGCCCGGACGTACTGCGCTCCCAGTTGCTTAACATAACGGAGACCGGTGATGAAGGCCTCGTACTCCGCTTCATTGTTCGTGGGAGAGAATTAGAAGATCAGGGCGTGGTACAATTTGAACCCCTCCGGGCGGTTATTACCACCCCACCCCAGCTCTCCTTTTGCTGCTGGACCCGTCCGTTGCTAACTCCCACCACTGCTCGTCTGGGTCATGTCGCGGTGCCTGATCGGTTTCCTTAGCGGTACATTCCACCACAAAGTCGGCCAATGCTTGGCTCTTGATTGCCGGTCGGGGTTTATACTCAATGGCAAATTGTGTCAACATCAGTGCCCACTTGACCAAACGCCCGGAGGAGTTGGAAGTGCGTAGGACGGCACCAATGGGTTGATCAGTAAGTAGCCGGACCGTTCGCCCCTGGAAATAGGGGGTCAACTTCTTGGCTGCTGTGTAGAGAGCGAAGACAACCTTTTCCAACTGGGAATACCGGGTTTCTAGCCCGTGGAGGGCATGGCTGACGTAGTAGACCGGCCTTTGAACACCTTGGGCTTCCGTCCTGCATAGGAACGCACTGACTGCTCGATCATTTACCCCAAGTAGACTTCCAAGTCTTCCCAGGCTCCGGCTTCGAGAGGACGACTAGCAACATTAAGTATTCCTTTAATTCTTCGAACACGTTCTGGCACTCTCGGTCCCAAGTAAATGCGTTGACCTTCCGCAATGTCTTGAAAAAGGGTAACGTGCGTTCGGCGAGTTTAGAGAGAAACTGGCTGAGGGCAGCCAATCTCCGGTCAAGTACTAGACCTCCTGGACTGTGGTGGGGGGTTGCATGTCTAAGATTGCCTTGACCTTGACCGGGTTGGGTTCTATGACCCTCTTGGTCATCATGAACCCCAAGAACTTCCCGGTCTGGACTGCAAACGTGCATTTGGCCGGGTTTAGTCTCATGCGGTGGCGACGCATAATTTCGAAACAAGAGCGGAGGTCTCGGTGGTGATCATCTCGGTGTAGGCTTTTCACGAGCATATCATCCACATAAGCCTTCATAGTTTTCCCGAGGAAGCCTTCGAACAACATATTGATCATCCTTTGGTAGGTAGCTCCTACATTGCGTAGACCAAAGGGCATAACTCGATAGTAGTATAGGCCGTCGGGCGTCGCAAAGGATGTCTTGGCCTCGTCTTCTTCAGCCATCATTATCTGGTGGTAGCCTTTGAAGGCGTCCATAAAGCTCATCAACTCTGACCCGCCCGTTGCATCGACCATTTGGTGGATACTCAGGAGAGGGTAAGGGTCGAGTGGACACGCCTAGTTGAGGTTGGTGTAGTCGATGCACATACGCCACGCGGGCGGTTTTGGGACCAGGACTACATTGGTTACCCAGTCTGGATGGACGACCTCTCGAATGTGCCCGATCGCACTCAGGGTTTTGACTTCTTTACATACGAATTCTCTCATGTCAACCGACAGGTGTCGTTGCTTCTGCTTGACCGGTCGGACAGCCGAGTTGACAGTCAAGTGGTGGCAGATTACCGCTTGGTCAATCCCGAGCATGTCTTCCGGTCCCCATGCAAAAATATCAACGTACTCCCTTAGGACTGCCAAGATAGAGCTCCTTAGCTCAGCTGGAAAAGTCGTTCCAACCCGGACAGGTTTCTCGGGGGAATCCTCAAACAGCGGGATCTTTTCGATTTCTTATGCTGGCTCGGGCTGATCTCTGGTGACCGTGTCTTCCCTGTTTATGATGGCATTGACACGGGACGTCCCGCTTTCATGTAGCACTTCTGAGTGGATCGGACATCTCCCCTTAGAACACCAACTCCCTCTGGCGTCTGGAATTTCATGCATAGGTGTGGCATGGAAATGATTGCCCCGATCTGGGAGATCCCCGGTCGCCCGAGTATGACGTTATGGACGCAGGCCAGGTTGACCACAATGAACTCCATGTCCACTTTCATCACCCTCAGATAGGTCCCTACCTCGACGGGTAAGCGGATCAGCCCTTCTTGTTCAGCCGTGTCCCCCGTGAACCCGGGCAACTGGGTCTGCACGGGGGTCATCTTTGCCTGGTCTAGCTTAAGCTTGTTAAAAACATCCATGTACAGCACATTCACACTACTTCCCGTGTCCACCATTACCCGTTGGACGTCTACCCCCAAGATGTCGATCATGACGATCAGGGCTTCCGTTCCGTGGTCAGGATTTCGGGGCAGGTCATCTTCTGTGAAGGCGATGGGTTCCACTATGGTGCGCTTTTCGGACCGGCCATCCTCCACGATCCCAACGTGTAGGCTCTGACACCACCTGTGTCTTTCTTCGGAACTGTCACCTCCCTCCAGGCTTCCAAATATGACATGAATAACTTGCTTGGAGCCGGAAAGCCGGGGTTCCTCGTCGAGATCCTGGTCTTTGTCTTTCTTGTCCGGACCCGATCTCTTAAAGAACTTCTTCCATCTCTTGCCTTTGCCTTTCTTCTTCGTGAACTGGGTCAGGAGGTCCTCTATCACTTCCTTCAAGACTCGACACTCGTCCGTGGTGTGCCCCCTGTTCCGATGATACGCACAGTACTTCGATGTGTCCCGACCATCCCGGCCGGGCTCAGGTAACTGAATCAGGTTGCAGCCCTATGCATAGTCGAGTATCTCGGCTGCCGGGCGGGTCAGTTTAAAAAGGTCCGCCGGCGTGCCCCGGGGCCCCTGCTAACGGTCGCCACGTTTCTGGTCAGGGCGGTTGTCCCGCCGACAGAGTCGGACTCTTGACGTCTCTTTGCAGAGTTCGCTTCCATTGCATTTGCATAATCGGTGACCCGACGGATGGCCTCGTCATAAGTTTGCGGTGGGTGTACTATGAAGTCCTAGTATAGAGCACCGGTTCGGAAGGAGTAATCTAGCACATTGATCGCTGTTCTGTCATCCATTGGTTCGACCTCGCCTATGGCATTCTTCCATTTTACTAGGAAGTCGGTTAAGGACTCCCCTTCCAGCTACTTAACCGCTTCTAGGTGCGTGAAGTGTTTCCGGATGGTCCGGGACATTGCGAAGCGCCGCACAAACTTAGTCGCCAGGTCGGCGAAACATGTTATTGATCCCGGTTTAACGGATTTGAACCATTCGGCCGCCCGGCCGGAGAGGGTGGAAAAGAACGCTCGGCAAATCACGGCGTCAAATACCCCTATCATTATCATGTTTCTGTAGAAGGAATTAACATGCTCCTCTGGGTCCGTCTTCCCAGAGTAGTCCTTTGCTCCCGGGATGCGGAGGTCAATCGGATATTGCTGCTGCATGATCTCAACGGAGAAAGTGTAACACCCCAGATTTTCAAGACTTTTTAAAACTTATAATAAAGGTAGAATCTTATTAAATCCCAAGATATAATACAAGCGTTCGGGGTGCTATGCCACACCTGGGCTAGAGAACCCAAGTGCACAGGCTAACTAACTAATATCCTCGAAGTGTGATTACATAAACGTGGCACGCAGGCCGAAAGGGAGACTATCTACTTCTACACTCCAAGTTCTAGCGCGCTCCAGTGACTTAATCTTCTGCCTGAAAGCCAAATATATCTTTCAGCGAGAGATGCTGGTAACCCACTCCAACGCGTTGAAATACAATACATATAGAGATATATATAGATATACGAAAACCATTTTGAGCATGAAGATATATCCTACGAACTCTAGCTTTAAAACCGGGAATGACTCGACAGATAAGGCCAGGCACAAGCAACAGTTATAACGAGCATATGCAGTTCACAACATATAAGGCAGATAAAGCAAAGCATAAACAATGATCATAACCCAACATGAACAATACCCAATATAAATCCCATAGTCACATCCCCCAAGACACTCGTAATCACAACTCGTCCATGTCACAGCACATAACACACTTTGTTGGCGCCACAGGACCAATCGCATGCCCATACATGAGGGTCAGCGCATATAGCTCTAACACGGCCCCGCAGCACCCTGCCCCGTATCGCAACACGGAGGGGTCGATCGCAACTGACCGATGAACCGCATCTCATCATAGTGTTTGATCGCAACCAAACAGTGGACCGCAGCCCAAGAGAATGTCATCTGACCGCAGCCAGGAAAAAGGACGAACCGCAGCTCGTATAGAAACGTTTGATCGCAACCAAATGGTGGACCGCAGCCCAAGAGTATCAATCTGACCGCAGCCAGCTTCTGAACCGCAGCTCAGGATAACCAATCCGATCGCAACCGAATTGGGGTAACACACACACATAACACATAGCAAGCATATGCAACCCACATTACACATTGAGAAGGGAGAGAAAACGTATAACAAAACCTATGCGTGACCCATCACATACTAGGAATAGTCCTAAGGGGTTCATACTTCTACCACCTAGGTCAACGGGATACCAATTCAACTAGCATGCAATATAACAGACTCGTAAACCTACGAACGGCACCCGAAATATCAAACTAGACATAGGCACGATGAACGGAGTCCGTTGGGACACCACGGGGATCGGGGGAACATCAAACGGGGAAGCCGGGATCCCGAATTGGGGAAATTTCCAGCGGGTAGCCGGTGGGTGGGGGGCCACCCGCCGGACTTTACTGTTCCGGGCAGCGGGTCGCCGGTGGGCAGCTGCCCGCCCGCTGGCTACCCGCTGCCGGGCGGTGTTTCACGGCCATGGGTAGGTGGCGGGTCCCCTATCCCCACTGACTCTTTTCACACACTTTACGCCCCGGGAACCGTTGTGGAACCCGAAACCATGCTTAGACACTTTACAACGCAATTAACGACAACACGTAGACAATTAACGAATCAAATACAAGAAACGAACGGCACATAACCTATCATGCTTTTCTAAATATAATCAACACCCAAACATGCGATTTCCCCACCCGATAATCCAAGAATAAGATCATACGATACAACCTAGGGTTCTAATCACTTTTATATCAACAAGAATACGGTTCGTCTTCTAATTGCAAGATTCGGTAAGAATAACACATAAACATCAAGAGCATCACACAATTATCAAGAACAACACATAATCATCAAGAACTCCATATAATCATCAAGGATCTCCCAATATCAAGATTATCAAGATCCCTCATGGGATCATCACGTCAAACATCAATAATCATCATCATATCTCGCCAATACACAATAATATGGGGGAAACCCTAAGGGGGGATCATAGCTATGAAAATAGGTTTTGTTGAGACATGGGTTACCTCTTAGCCTTAATTAATTCCTTGGCTATGAAGGATCTTTCTTTAAGCTTTCTTGATTTCTCCTAAGGGGATTCTTGGAACTCTTTGGGTGGTGAGAGATTATTGTGGTGGGGATTCTAGGTGCCTCCTAAGTTCCCTATTTATATATTTAAGACTCCTAGTTAGGGCCTGAATGGTATGCGTTTACTAATTCTATTCCTTATAGGGCTAGGGTTTGTTTTAGGGATAATGGTCCACGGTCCATAGTGGACCATATTAATTAAAGAGGATCCTAATCATAATCTGAATAGTAAAAGGCCTACTTCCATTATTCCTAACAGGCTTAAGACTCTTATTCGGGCAAGGGTCCATGGTTCATGGTGGACCTTACTAATTAATTAAAGGTGAACCTAACATAATTAAATCATATTTAATTATTATTAACGGGATTAATTAAATAATTAATCCGGGATTGAAGGCCGTAACACGGGGTGTTACAGAAAGGGATGCGCAACAGCGAGGCGTCAAGGCCAGGGACCTGCATTGTTTGCTCCTGCTTCGATCGGTTAAATTCTTGACGGACTTGCTCCATGATTCTGGGGGGAATACCATCCCCGGCGTCCTGCCGGTTATCACGACGATGGTTACTCCGGGACGAGCTGACTTTGTCTAAATCTCCTCCGTGGCTAGACACCGACCAGTCGAGGGACATCCTCCTGTTGCCTTGTCGGACTCGGCGAGGGGAATCGGTGGGCTGGAGTCGTTCGAAGGTGCTCTTGCGGGGCGCATGCTCTTCGGTGCGGTCGATTGAGCCAAGGCGAGATCTAGCTGGGCGACGCGGGGGCGCCTGCGAGGCGCCCCCGGAGAGCGGCTGACGGCCCCTGTGCGGACTGGGCTCGACCGTCTCCCGGCTCGCTTACCCTAGGGCCGAAGGCGGGGGCAGCGACCCGGTAGTTGTGTACTGGGCTGTACATCTATGGTAGGTACATTCCGGGTATTGGCAGTTGGAGGTACGCCGGGGCGTAAAATCGCAGAGCGTCGGCCCACCACTGGTAAGCTGGGTCTACCATCCCCGGGTGTGCTCCGGGGGCTTGATACGCGATGTGAGCTGGTATATCCCTGTATGTTGGTTCCGGTTGTCCAACGTTGACCGGCTCGGGCTGTTGAAATACTCCCTCTGGTGGTTGGTTGAGGTCCACTCGAGCAACTAATATTGTCATTTTCAAAATTCATCAAATGACTCTTTTCATTATGCACTAGTATTCAAATTTTAGCAAATCCTATTAAACTCTTAAAAGTCTAAACATACACCAACCAAAGGAGAACGCCGACACTCCCAACAAGTTCCAGCCGTCACTGCTCGTAACCGGTAGCCCGAGTTCACCGCGGGTGCCGTCGTCAACTGAGGAAACGAAATAGAAGATTTAGGCATTTAGTTACCATTTAACTATAATATCTAGACTTTTTGTTGTGGTGAGGACTAATGAATCAATCTGCAGTAAAGAATAATTCATAAAAAAATTCAAAGATTTAAAGAATAATAAAAAAAAGAAATGGAAAATTGCCTCTACACTTGTACCTTGAAAATTAAAGAGAAATGACCTGTGTATATCTGCTGTGATTTGCTGTCTGCGTGTCTGGTATGGAATTTAGATAGTTTGAGTATAAAACTTACTCTGGAAGCTTTGCTTTAGGGGGGAGTTGGGGGGGGGGGGGGGAATATTTTGCTACTCTCAAGTGGCTGAGATAGGCAAAAAAATAGTTTATGAGGGAATATCCTTTGTCTTAATTAAATTATAAAATATTTTTGTGGAAAAAAAAAAGTACCTTAAAAAGTAGTTGGGTGAGATGAGGATAGGGATGACTATATGACATTATGGTGGGAAATATGCAAGGTATATATATGACATTCATGTGCCCAAATCCCTTCCCCACCACATCTCCTCGTCCGTCCCAATTTGAAAAACAAATTCCTAACTTGATGTAGAAGCTCAGGTCACAGTACAAGAAAAGACTTAACAAAATGATAATAGAAGGACAAGAATGCCCTTAAACTATTTAACTAATTTGTATCTACATCATCACCCCCTACCCCACCCCCGTTTGATGGCCTAGCTTTGAAGGGAAATCATCAAATTTCAGTCTCGGTAAAGCTTTGGTGAATCCATTTGCAACGTATTTATGCGATGGAATCGATAATAACTTGATCAACCTTTATTGAATCTTTTGTTTGACAACATAACAATTTATTTCGATGTGTTTGGTGTGTTTATGGGAGACATAATTCTCTCCTATTGCAAAAGCAGAGCGGTTGTCACAGAATAATGCAATAGGTTTGTTAAACTTCAGATTCAGATCATCTAATACATAGATAAGCCATTGGATTTCACATAATGTAGAAGCTAATGCCCTGTACTCTGCCTCTGAAGAAGATCTTGACACTATGGCTTATTTCTTAGCTTTCCATGAGATTAGGGACTGTTCAAGGTAAATGTAGTTACTAGAAATAGATTTCATGGTTTCTATGCAAGCTGCCCAGTCTGAATCAGAAAATCCTTGTAGTTTATGTGAGATTTTGAGAGATAGAATAGCCTTTTGCCAGGAGAACCCATGAGGTATCTAAACACCCTATGCGTAGCAGTAAGATGTGTGTTTCTGGGTTTGTCTACAAATTGACTCAATTGTTGGACAACATAGGTGATGTCTGGCCTGGTGGTTGTTAGATATAATAGTTTGCCAACCAATCTTCTATACACTTTAGGTTTTTCAAACAAGGTTCCAGCTATGTTACCCAGTTTTTGCCTTGCTATGATAGGTGTTTGTGCAGATTTAGCTTCTAGAAAACAATTTTCCTCCAAGATCTCCATAGTGTATTTTCTCTGATACAATTTAATGCTATCAGGGGATCTGAATGCCTCAATTCATAGGAAGTAATTCAACTAACCAAGGTCTTTTATCTTAAAAGACTTATCCAAGAACTATTTCAATCTAGCAATTTGTTCACGATCAGTCCCTGCAGCCAAAATATCATCTACATAGATGAGCAAAGCAATAAATGAGGTCCCTGATGACTTAGTGAACAATGAATG